TGGTCTTCTGGGGCATCGCCATCTCATTTGGTTGTGAGCTAAGCAGGAACAAGACACTTTCCCAGTGTTCCACTGGGTAGCTGCTTTGCCTAAAACAAATGTAGATTGGTAGTGGTGGGCAGAGAAGGACTGCTCAAGAACCACTCTGTTATATCATGTTTGAATACCTGAATGTTCAGTTTCAACAAGAATTAAAATCAAAAATTATTGTTGGATTCATGTGTCTAGACCAGAGGACTCCTGTGGAGCATACATTTCTCATCATGCCAAGCAGCTAGATGTCACTCTTTAGTCCCGGAAATTATGAGCTGCTGTTGCCCAGACCCTGCCCTGCCTGACCACTTGCCACAAGGACATCTGCCAGGCCTAGGCAGCCTTTTTTCTCTTGTTTTCCCCAGCACCACATACAGTACCTGGCACAAGGAGGACTTAAAACTGCTGAAGAGGTAGATGAAAAGAAGAGAGGAAAAGTGGAAGGCATCATAAATAAAAATACTAGCATTTTCTCTTCAGTGTTGTATCTGAGAAATTAGGAAAGGAGCACATTTTAGTAAGTGGACAGTATATGTTGAAAGGCTACAAAGGTACTTGTTGGCAGGCTGCTTCTTGATCTTCTGGTGCTCTGTAAGCCTGTGTATGAAAAGGGCAGCAGGAGGAAGCACTGTCCTTTGGGATGAGTGGAGTGACACTGGCATGTGTGGCCTGAGAGCTGTCAACAACCCAGTGTGAGCCGAGGCAAGGGCAGTTCCTCACCTCCTACCTCAGGGAGACTGGCTGACACCAAGAAAGAGCTCAACTGCAATAGCATCTGTTCTTAGCAAGTCTAGGTAAAGGCATTAGTGTCCAGTTCAGTGCCCAGCCAGAGTGAGTTTACCTGCTGGTCTGCCTGTGCTGGGCTTGCTTTATTCCTGTCACCTATGGGATTATTCTTAGAACCTGAGAGACAAAAAGTTATGCCCTCTTCCCGAAACAGTGTCCTGGTCTCTTATTCTGTATCAGGCCTGGGCAACATGCTTGTGAGACACTAGCTTTTAATGCTCACACTGGTGAAGTCATTTTGTCCCTGTAGAGGGATGTCAGGCTATTCAGTGTATGACTTTCAGTTACACATTAGGACTCAGGGCTTCTGTATCTCTGCGTTTCCAGAGGACATCACCATTAGCCACCTGTATGTTCAACTATCCTAGTGGACATGGGTCATGTGCCACTTTCCCTATACTGAGAAAATTAAAACAAAACATACCAGTGCCTGTAAATCTAATACTTCAGGTAGGCACAGACACTTGGTGGAATGTTCTGGATAATCTTGGCCTGAAGACTGTTCCTTCCTTCAGCACAGTGTCAGGGCAGTGACAGAAAGAGCAGTGTCTACATAGTCCTGGACACCAGGTTCCAAAATCTCACAGCAGCTAATGCATTTCCTGTGTCCCATGCAGGGTGCTGGGGCACCCACAACCCAGAGAGGAAGGTTGATGGCAGCCGCACATGTGTGAAGATGGACATTTTCTTTGCACTCCTTAGCTGTGACCTTTGAAAGTGAGCCAGGTTGGCTGTGGTTTCACTGCCCTCAGTTTCCCTTCTAACACCCTCACCACCCCTTGTGCTGCCCCAAACAGTAAGGGCCGGTTTGACTTTGAGCCTCTTCCAAGAGTCAACCACATTTGAGGGAAACAGAACAAGTCTGAGAACGCGAAGCCCCACCAGCCACACCAGCACCACCTGTCATCCCCTCTCCCCCAGGCCTCTGCTCTGTGCTGCTTAAGTTCAGGGCAGTGGAGGTGGACAGGGAAGGAAGGTCCTGAGGGGTTTGAACCCCCAGAGGACCCTGCCCCTGCTTGGCCTGTGACATCAGCCCCACAGAGTTCTGTGTGATGTGACCACTTCCTGTCTAGGGCCTGTGTGTTTGCAGTGCAGAAATAGCTCCAGGTCTCATCAGCTCAGGAGAACCAAGGAGTGGATCTCAGTTACATCTGATTCTTTTTCAGCCTAGGTGGTCTTGTTTTGTTTCCAAATAGGAACTTCTGCTTGGTGAACAAAAGTACTTGTTCCATGGAAACTGATGTTGACTTTAGCCAACCAGCCAAACAATGCAAAACTTTGCAGTGTTAAATAAGACATTGCTTGAATCTGAATAAAAAATGTTTACTTTAAATCATTTCATTAAAGAAAATGGAAAAATACACACTGATTTTTCACCTACCAACCATACATTGAATGTTTTATGTCTTTAGCATCAATGCAAAGACACTGAGGAATCACCTGTTAGTATTATTTCTCAATAGAAAAAAAATGGTGAAGGGAACAGTATTTCCAAGAAATATAAATAGATCTTAGAGAAGTGAAAAGATGTTTATCTTCACTCATTATAAGAAAAAAAGAAAATTTAAACCACAATGAGATGCTATTTTCCACCTGTCAGATTAGCATAACCCTGACTTTTGATTGCCTACCCTTGAGCATTCATACCTGGCTCTAGAACAGCTGCATGAGGCTCTCTATGGGCATCAGAGTGCCATCGCCACCCAAATCACCAATGCACACACTTACAGTGATATAAAACTCATTATTTTCCCAGTTTTTTGTAGTAGCAAATTATTAGAAATATGCCAAAAATCTGTTAGAACTGATGAAATACTGTCTATTATGTTCACCAGGAAAATACCTTGTATTGTTCAAATGTATCCTTAACAAAAGCTCTGAGATTTATAGATGAAAAAGGAAGTTCAAAATAATGTATATTTAATGGTACTTTTGTGTAAGAAAGGGAAATGGGAATATATAGAGATGCATATATATATATATATATACACATTTATGTAATTATGTATGTACATCTGTATTTGCAGAAATTAAAATTAGAGTGTTTTAATTTTTAAATCATGTCAGTGTATCATTTAACAATTCAAAGAAGTTCATGCTGTGCATATTACATTTCAAGCCTATGTCCTGATTATTTTCCATTTATTTCAATAAATTATGTATTTTTTAAGATGCAAATGGATCTATGCTAGTACATTCACCTTTCTTGTTGGGCATTTGGGTTCATGTGCAGCTGGTCTATGTAGTGCTCTAGTGAGTGAATATCCTTGACGTAATGTTAGAACATGCACTCTGTTTCCTGTGTGAGCTGATGGCTCAGATGCTGAGAGCCCTGTCCAGGGGGAGCCAGCGTGATCTGGCTCTGATTCCTCCTGTTATCTTGCCATCTGAGACAGCCATGCTGGAGGTCAGGAGCTCTTTCAGTCACCTGCTGGCCTTGACCTGGATGTGCATTAGAATGAAAGAGTTGTTAAAGCCTCTACAGGTAGCCTGTGACAAGGTCTGGGCCTCAGTGATTTCTAAGGGCTCCTAGAAGGGGAGGAAGAGCCATTTGCGCAGTGGAGGGAGCACTGGGTCTTAGGTTCGACAGAATTACTTGGACTCTGGGGCCTTTAACACTTGACATATTTAACGGTGTGTCTGACTTGTTGTATGGCATTGACGTATTCACCGTACGGACTTAGTCTGTGTTCAGCATTGAACGTACTTAACACTAGGGCTTACTCAGTGCTTAACATGAGGTCTCCAAGACCTGCTTGTCATAGTGACACGAACATAGTGTCTGTACTCTTCAACTGAGAACGTTAGAAATAACACAGACTGCCTTGCAGCCTTGATGCTCTAAGTGGTGGTTCTTTGGCATTAATCAAACACAACATAAAAGCAAACAAATAAATAGTCTCTAACAGAACATGATGGAAACCATGATTTCAATCACATAAGTTCTCTGGCTCATAAAAATGTTGGGTTTCTAGCCCTTGGGCTGAATTATATCACCTTGGTGTAATATCTTTGGTGATGTCTAATACTCAGAATTACTAATTGGCTATTACATAGGATTTTGATTAATATGTTGAAAAACGATTATTATTTATTGCAGCCTGTTACACACACATACACACACAAAATAAACTAAAAGAAAATGAAGTCTATGAGGAAAATAATTCCAAGTCAGTAACGGAAGTTTATTAATGAGAAAGTGTTGAAAATTGTTGCCTAGAAATTTTTCCATTTTTTATAATTCAGAAACATGCAGTTTGTTTGATAATGTTTTAAATATATACAGTTGAGAAGTGTATGGACTCCTTTACCTCTGTAAAGACTACTGAGACATAAGTGGTTTCATGTGGAATTGTATAAATCTTTGCCTCAGGCTGTAAATGCAGCTGGCTGTTCTCATATTTATTTCATCCAAACACGTGCCACAGACTTGAGTCATAGAAGTCTGTTCGTAGAGGGGAGAACAGCATGTAAAAGTCTCCCCAGCATCAAGACTCTTGTGTCAAGTTGGCCTACAGCCTTGTGATTGTAAGAACAGCACAGGGGCCAGAAGAGGAAATATGGGGTATGTCAGGCAGGTCGGGAGACTGTTCTCTTCATCAAAAGTACATCTAATGAGGAAGCAAAATTTCCTGAACAGTAATATGTTTTCACTCCAGGAGCAAATAATGTATAAGACAAGTGCAGAGCTCCTAAAGCCAGCAAGTTAGGTTCAAATCTCAGTCCTGTTTCTTATTCACTGTGCAGTTTGGGGAAATTCCTGAGCTCAATTTCTTCTTCTATAGAACAGAAACAACTATACACAACTGGGAGTGTGCTTGTGAGAATTAAATGACTCGATGCACACTTAAACCCATATCAGGCACAGTGAGCACTGCACACGTGATTGCTATCATTAATTCATTAGATGTCAATCATTGAATGTGTTACTTTGCATAGGAATCTGAAATTATTTAATTTGGATGCATTCTTCTAAAAATTGATAAACTTAGGCAGGTAGCAATAAATGTAGAAAATAAAATATGCTGTTTTAAAAAACGGGAAAGATTTTGGAATGCTTTCCTCACAAAGAAATGAATGAGGAGAAAAATAAGCTTATCCTGATTTAAGCATGACACAATGTTTGCAAACATTAAATCATCACATGAGTCCATAAATATGTGCAAATTTCATGTGTCATTTTTTTAAAGAACAAATCATACAGATAGGTAGAAAATGGCTCAGTAGCCAGGGCTCACTCTGGTTGTGACATGTGACTTCTGGTCCTGAGTCCTCCCACTTCACCAGGTTCCTTCCTCATGGGGCAGCTGTGCTGTGCTATGGTGAAGAAGTCCTGGACCATGAAGGGTGCTTAGCCCAGCCCTGCCCGAGAAATGCACCTGAGGTTAGCAGAATGTCTGCAGGAGGATCTGGGTGTCAGAATGCTGTCCACACCTAAGAGCATCTTGAAAGGTCCCACTGTGGCTGAGGCTCACCATTCATTTCACTGCTGCTCTCCAGAAATGAGCAGTTGTGTGTCAGTGACATTTACAGCACACAGCAAGTGGAAGGCAGGGTTTCCACTGTATCTATAGCAAGGGGAGCATTTACAGTAACTCCAGAGTAGGTCACAGTTTTAGCAAAGGTGGAAGAAATGTGAAATTAGTGACAACCAAAGGCCTGGTGTATATATGAGGAGAAAACACAGATGCACTCGTAACTCTTTGAGGAAATATTCACTGACTTAACAGAGGGATCCTCGGGTAAAGAAGTAATGCATGTTTTTGCTTTCATAATTGACCTGAGTGAAAGGGAAGATACATGACATTAAGGGAGTTACTTATGCATGTACACAGGCGTGGGGATCCATATATGCTGTATTCTTAGAGACCTGGTCTTAAATTATGACTACTACTTAAATATAATGTCCTTAGCAGGTAACTAAATTTTTCCAATCTATAAACCATTGACAATAATTGTATCTTCTTTGAGGAACTCATAGAATCATGGGTTGTCTAGCATATGGTAGAAGCTAAGCCCCTGTTCCATTCCAGTCAGCCTCTCTGCAGAAAAGTAAGAACACAGATCATCCTTTGTATTCTCTGAGAGTGTGGGATCCATTCTTTCTACAGAAGAGTTGAGAACATGCCAATGCTCTTGAGGATTGCTTGTGGCAAACGTGATTAATTCATCTGATCCTCACAGTCCCAGGAGATAGTGCCTAACTTTATTTTACAGGAGGAATTTTGAGACAGATAATTCTAGTATCTGAGGTGACCCAGATAGTCATTGGACTGAAGTCACCCAGATACTAATTGGACCCAGGATTGAAACATAGGCCCCCTTGGGTCCAGAGTCCATGTGGTCACATTCTTGAGTACACTGCCTCTCTGGGGCTGGTGCCTATCTCAAGGGAACATTTGAGGTTCAGGACGTATGATGCTGTGAACTCTGGATAGACCTGATCACACCTGGTGCAAAGCACACTGGCACTGGACCTCTCCTTTGCCATGGAATGTCTCAGACTAAATGAAGCTAAATCTGCTGTCCTTGAGAAGACTGGTGCCATGCTCATTTTCAATTGATTTGTCTTCCCTTGGAGATAATGCCTGAGGAAAATGGCATAACCACCTCTCAGAACAGAAATAGAAATGTGGCACTGCATCCTTGTTAGCAATCAGCATGGCATGGTTCAGTTTCAATGCTGTTTCTCACCTTGGAATTAAAATTTCATTAAATGAAAATGTGCATGGACAAAATTTGAATTAAAAAATTAATTGTGTGCATTATGACTATCAAAGGACAGTTCAATAACAAAGAAGGATCTGTCAGGGTAGGTAGAATGGTGACTTCCAGGGGCGACCTGGTCTATGGTCACAGAGGTCGTGACCAGAAGTGGCTAGCTGTGGACACCAAGGCTGTGAGGCCCTGGCTCAGCTGGAGGGGTTGAGGGGACTGTGGAGGGACAGGGCTCAGGCACCATGGGCTGCACCATGTTGTGACAGTGTGAAGTTGCGGAGTTTGACCACTTGTTGGGAAGCCCTTACACAATAATGACAGAATAATGCACACGTGGCCTTCAGGAGCCTACACTCAGCAAGCCTGCAAACCCTCAGCAGATGCTGCTGGGGACCAGAAACAGTGGAGACACCATGGGCCTACACGCCTCCATTTCTCAGGTTTTCTTCCTGTCCTCACAGACAGCTGACCTTCTGCAAAGATGGAAGTGAGGGGGGCTCCATAGAGGGCGCTCTTGAGCAGCAGAAGGAGGTAGGTGTAGTAGGCGGAGGGGCTGGTGAGCTGCAGGTGCAGGAAACCTAAAAGAAGTGCGGTCATGAGTTTCAGCTGTGCTGTGACAGCACTGGACCCACCATGGGGACATGTCATAGGGTGCTGAAGTGACACCATCCACCACACCCAATCCCAAAGGTCAATATCTACCACTCTCCTCACAACAACCAAGGGTGAGATTCAGATGCAACTCAACTGGATTAACTACCTTTATTGAATTACCTAGAACCTTCTTATTATTAAAAACATAATGCTGCCCTTTTAGTGAATGATTCAAATTGAGGGGAAAGCAACTTGTGATAACTAAGTAATAGAATGTCTTTGTCCTCAAAATGTCTCAAAGTAATAGAAACAATACATATTAACCACTAAAGAAAGCCACAGAGTACTCTGATAGTTTTATATTAATTAATCTTTATAACAACTTATGAGAGAGAATTTCATTCCTATTTTGCAAACAAAGCAACTAAAGATACAGAAAGAAATAATTTATCAGAGTTCATGCATTTCTAAAGTGACAGCCCCAGATTTTGACCCCAGCTGTACGACGTTAGAAACACATTCTTATCTACCCTTAGATTCTGCATCTCCAAATTCAATTCACACACAAGCCATCAAAAGGTTAAGCAGAAATATCAAGTTGAGCTCCTGTTTAGAGGAATCTGAGCTCTTGCACTTTGCACATGCCATGAGATCTGGAGGAACAGGACAAGCCAAGGAAATTTGGCTCTGTTCCCAGTGGTATGGATGGGAACTTTTAGAAAAGAGAGTTCAGTAGAATTTGGGACAGAGTGGTTAATACAAAATCTCTGAGATGTTCAGGATGCCTCTTATGGGTAGTATTATGCTATTGGGTAATTGCAGTCAGGATTCTTTGAATTTTTGCAAGAAATATGTGATGTCAAGTTATGATCAAAGACAGTGACAGTGGTCCATAGTGGTTACATGATGAGTCACAAGAACAAATCTCCGTGTGGAAATTTCCAGTTTACATGACCCCCTCTTCAGAGTCAGAATTCATGAATCACTAGCCCTTGGTGTAGGTAGGCGGCTCCAGAAATATGTTCCTGTCTCCCTGACCTTGGTTAGTGAGGCTTACTGCCCTCCTTTCCTGGTGTGACACCTGAAGTCCAAAGCTCCGTAGACATTAGAATCAGAGGAAAGGTCAACAGGGTGGAGCCAATGCTTCAAGTCATGTTCTTGGTGCACATGTAGGGAGGAAGGGCCAGAAACAAATACTGATTTTAAGCCTGCTAAATGGGTCCCTATGATAGACATTTCTAATCTGGGCCTTATATCTTCAAAATTGTGAGTTTAATGTAATCATTCTCAAATAATTACTCACAAAAGATGTTACTCCCCCATATTCCTGCAGCTGACCATTGAGAGACCTGGGCTGTACCCAGGCTGTGGTCTCAGAAGCCCATGCACTCACCACCCTGCCACATGTCCATCCTGTCTTAGTGCATTGGCCTGGAGTATTTTTGCTCTATGACTTTGTCTTAGAGGAAGAATGGAGACCTAAGTAAGGGTATGAGCTATTCACTTAATATCCTGGGCTAAAACCTCATTTCTAGCTGTGTGACATGCACTGAAGTCTGAATTTTAGCTCAATGTCCTCCTCTGTAATATGGGGGTAAACTTTCATACTACATGATAGGAATATTATGAAGATTGAATTTGAAAATGCATACAGGACACAGTCCAAGACCTTCTGGGTAAAATACCAGTTCATGTTATTACCAACTAGCAAAATACCAAGAAAATGCATAAACAAATGTACAACTAATTTGACATCACAAAGTCACATAGACATATAGATGAATGTAGTTCCTTTGTTGAAGAAGTTCAAGGCATGTCACTGTAACGTCTAATTTATAGTCATGTGTAATGAAAACCAGGCCTTTCCTATGAGAATGACCCTACGCACATGTGGACTAATTCAAAATGTCAATCTCTTTGCCAACATTCAGCCATTCTGATTTTCCTACCATAAGTGAAAGACATTCCGAATTAAGATGATCACATGGGAAAAGTGCTACAGGATGAGACAAAGACAGGAAAACTTACCTTTTTTGCTTTTCAGCAAAGCCTCAGGATAAGCAGTACTGACACCTAAAGGAAATGACATCAAGAAAAGTCAATTATTGTAAATACAATGCAAATAATACAGAGAAAATAATTTTCAGAGAGCATAATTCCACCATTGTGGATACGATGAAAATCTCTTGCTATGTTTATAATTCTTATCAATGGCCATTTTTTTCCCGATAGGTGTTCAGCATTTCAGTGCCATATTTTCTGGGACTAGAAAGACAGGCCAAGTTACATTTCAGGTTCTCTGAATAAACCTTGAGGTACAGCTAGTCTTTAGGATAAAAAACAAAGCTAAGATAACTTGATGTGGGTTTTTTGCCAATCATTACAAACAATAGGCATGTGAGTGAACATTTCTCTTGATTGAAGAAGCGGGAGCGCATCATGGTCTCCCTTAACTTGCAGTCACCTCATACCAAGATCAGTAGTTTACTGTTTAATATAACACAGAGGAAATGATGGATTAATGTAAAACATCACTCAGTCAATTCTGGAAAAATTGAACCATTCTGGTTTTTCTACATAGAGCCAGGAAATTTCAAAAGTTAAGATAAAGAGGGGTAAATGCTATAGTATGAGATAAAGGCAATAAAGGCCAATTACCCCTCCCAACTTTCAAACTGGGTTCTCTGGGAGTACTGGTGACAACTAAAAGAACTGAGATCAAATAGCAGTCAATTTGTCAATTTTTCATTATATATATAATTAATAATGTCTGTTCACATTGATACTTGAGAGACAGTCATTAAAACATGGTGCCTACAGTTCCAAAAGATTGGTCTCAGTCTATGTAAGATGTCATTCATACATTATGTTTCTTTACATTAAGACATAGAGGCTCATGAAGGATACATTTTTTTAAACTACAAGTGGAGTGTACTGTCAAAGACTGCTTTTCCTATGTATTTGTCACCCCTAACACAGTGCCTACTACAATATAGGTGATATACCAATATTCATGAAAAACTTAACAGAAAACTGCCAGCTTTACAAGCTTCAGTGTTCACTACTGACATGAAGAAGGGGATGCACAATGAATCCACCCAATCCTAGAGCCAATGACAGAGCCATACACATTAGGAGTCTCATTTAGGAAAGTTTTCCATCTAAGCAGAGAAAAGCAGCACTATCTGTCTGCATCATGTACATCCCCAGTAACTCCTGTGTATGCATGTGAGTTTTTGGAGGCTTGGAGTTTGCAAACAAGACAACCTTAATATTAACAAAAGTAAAAACCTACTCAGTGATAGTTGCTGCACCAGGGACTGGTTAAATGCTTCACTTGCATCAACTCATTTAATTCCCTCCAGTAACATGTGAATTATATTGTGTATGCCCTGTATTATGAATGAGGAAATAATGTTAAACATTATAAATAACTCAGTCCAAATGAATGTCAGAGCTGAACTCAAAGGACAGCATGGTAATTTAAAGGAGACAGGGCAGATGTAAAATATTTTTTAAAAATAATCCTTGGAAATATATAGAAAATCACAGAGAGACAACATACTAATTCCACCACTGTAGACACTAAGAAAAATTTTTTTTCTAGGATCTTAATTATTCTTAGTCTATGGACTCTTTTTATTACAGAAGCTAAGCATTTCAATGGAATTCTTTCTAAGAATAGAAAATTAGGTCAAGTCATATCTCTAGATTTCTGAATAAAACCTCAGGCAAAATTGCATTTATTTTGGTGATAAAGCAAAACTAGAAAGAACTTGATATCATGCTTCCCCCAGGCAATGGAATCAATGGATACAGGAATGAATGAAATCCCCTGGTAGAAATACTTCACAATGTATCACTGTGTTCTCTAATTTACATTAGTCTCATGCCAAGATGAGTATTTTACCTTGGCAATGTGATATACCAAGGCAAAGGCAAATTCAGTATCACACAGTGTGTTCGGGAATATCCAGTCCTTCTGATTTTTCTACCTGAAGCCAGGGAAGTTCAAGAGTTAAGATGAAAAAAGTGTAGTAGCATGAGATGGAAGCAAACATACACTGACACTTACCATTTTCTTCTTTCAGATCTGCTTCTGTAGGACTAATATCGGTGCCACCTAAAAGGAATAAGAGCAAGGAGTAGTCAGTTATGCCTATTTTTGACAGTGCGTATGTGTGTATTTATATATATAGTCATTATGTACATAAATATATGTATATAATCTGTCAGCAGAGATGTAGAAGAAACAGTCATTAAAAGATGAGTTCCACAATCCAGAAATAATTGGTCTCACTCTATGAATTTCAATAGATATCATTCATATATTATGTTTCTCCATGGAAAAATGTCCATGAAGGTAACATATTTTTTTTTCTTCTCAATTGGAACATAATATCCAAGATTTTGAACTTCATGAATGTTACCTTTTTGTTTTGGAACCGGGGATCAAACTTGGGACCTTGCGGTTGAGAGGCAGGCAATGGAACCACTGAGCTAAATCCCCAGCCCATCTTTTTTTCTTTTTGACAACCGGACTATCATATCCATGACTACCCACTCTTCCTCTATACACATAGCTCCCAGCAAAGTGCCTGCCACAAAAATACATGATATACAAATGCTCAGTCAATGAAAAAATTAAGAGAACTGGTTGCTTTACAGCCTTCAGCATTCACCTCTGACATGTGGAGAGGCGAAGATGATCTAAGGATGGGGGAGCCAGGAGGGAGGTGGGGAGAATGGGAAGTAAAAAAATAAAAAAATAAAGAGAATAAAGAAGGTACCCTACCTCCAAAAAAGAACCTGTCCTATCCCAAAACCAGCATCTGAAGGAGACAGACTTATAGAAAGCAGCATACCTTTCCAAAACATGCATGTTTCCAATGTCCCCTGTTCATTCACATACATTTTTGGAGGTCGGGATTTTGTGAACACAAGGAATACAATATCAATAACACTAACACTTATTCAGTAGCCGTTGTTGCACTTGGCACTTGCTAAATGTATTCTTCTGCATCATAGTGTTTAAATGTGCAATAGCACTTAAGACAGTTGCATTCTGGAAGGCTCCATGTGATGAATGAGGAATAAAGGTTAGAAATTCAGATAACTTAAACCAGAGAATGGCTGAACCGTATTCAAAGGATAGTGTGGGGATAAAAGGAATACAGTGTATGTAAAGTACTTTGTAAAACTAATCCATAGAAAAATATAGATAATTCATGAGGAGGCAACAGAATCCACTCTTGCAGATACTAAGAAAATATTCTATTCTAACATCTTCATTTGTCTTAACCAGTGGCCCTCTAAAATTATAGGAGTTGAGAATTTTAGTGCAATTATTTCTGGAGATAGAAAGGTACGCTAGATCTCTTTCCTAACTATTTTAATAAAACTCAAGGTGATAGATACATGTCTGATACTTTTGAAAAAGAAAAAGTATTACAAAGATTAATATGTTTAAATTAATGGATAAAAACTAGAAGCATAGCTGTTGTTTTGGTTTATTTTTTTCCTGCTAGATGTGTTCTCATCCATATTAGTATGCTTCTGCTATGCAATTTTATAGAATAGTGAATTATTAAAAATGGATTTGATGATTAGGTTTTTTGGAGTAAGATGCATAAATTAAAATACTAGTATGATTATGGTTTGATTAAAATTTTCTTCAAGAACTGACTTTACTGGATCTAAAAAATCTATTTCTTTCTGTAAGGTACTTTATGAAAAACATTATTATCATGAACTGAGGAAAAAGAATAAATTAGAGATATGAATAATAAAATAATAAAATAAAATGTACTTGTATGCTAAATTCTGATTTTAGAAATGAATCTATGTGTATCCTAAGTTTTCTTAATCAAGGTTGATTACAAACTTAAAACAGATTAGTTTTACCTAATAAGACCATTTCATTGATTTCTGCTTCCAGATTTTGGTTTTTTATCTTTTATTAAAAAAATAAAATACCCTCCAGGCAGCAGGACTAAAATTTTTCTGTTTAGTGACATTAACAGAAATGCCCTACTCAACCTGACTGCCATGAAAAGTGTAGGAAAGACATTTATTTTAGATTTAGTATCAAGAGAAACATCGTAAAACTGGAACTTCTTTCCTACGTGATAGTCATTACCATGGAATGAATATTTTTTCTGTTTTGTTAAAAACATCAAGATCTAATTGGACACTTAAGCGAAGCAGTTTCACTGATCTCATACCTTGGATATTTGCCCACCCTTTATTACTTAGCAATGGTCGTAGAACTGGGGCTGTTTTTGTAAACTTACTTTAGTGTCTGTGGCCTTGGATGTGTTAACAGAACCACTGCTGGACCCTCAGCACATTCTGTCCTCTGCTCCGCTCTATAGACACACACCATACTACATCAGATGGTTTCCTGGTGAACACTGGCCTAAACTGTGCACAACCCTGAGTGATGAGGGAAAGATCATTCTCTCCTTACTGCAGTGCATCCACCCTGGGACACTAACTCATCCTGCCCGACTCATATTCATTCCCTCTCAAGCCAGGCAGAGGCCCACAGTTGTACAGTGTTTGTGCAGCTGCATTTGCCAATGGCAAGAAATCCATCCATTATGGGGAAGGAAAATATGCTCAGACACATTAGCCTCACTCAGTCTTTAATTATAACATTTTGTCTAATCCTGAAATAAAAATCAGAAAATGTCAACACCACCATTGAGGTGCAGTGGCTACCCTTTACTTTTTGTAAGACCAGATTCGGAAGTTTTTGTTTGAGTGCCATTTTGTCAATTAATAACTCTTTCTTTGTATATTAATCATTGAGCATAGCAAGGTTGAAGTGGGTGACTTTGCTTACTAGACAGAATATCCCTAAAAGATGCACAAGTGTCTTTCTGTCTAAATTAAATAAAGTTGATAAGGAAATGCCTTATTGACATTTATCCTGTAGTTAGTTGCTGGGTGCATCCAAAATATTGTTTTCTTTAATTCAAATAGCAATTCTAAAAAGATCAAAATATTTTAGATAGTGAAGCTGAAGTTGAGAAAGTTTAATTAAAATTTTCTATTTGTTTTCTTAAAACTTTTACCATATTAATTCTATGGGAAAATAGCAGAAAATTTATACTACCATTAAATGTGATGATATTTAAGAAAGACATATTTATGATTAATGCTTAATAGAAAAGGTGATGTGTGCACTTTCAGATAAGTTTTCTGAGGTTATATTCACATTTATATATACATACCTTTCCCTATGGGAGGAAACAGAATCTCTTGATCAACTTCTCCTTTATTATTCTGGTGTGTAATGATACATTTGTGCTCTTCATCCATTGGGTCTCCAGTCACAGTTAACCAATTAAACTTCATGTGAGTGTCATTGGTCCTCATGGCATCTCCCTGATGGGATTCTAAAACCATATTCCCATCCTTTTCTTTCAAATATACCTTAACAATATCGGGGAAACAATTCCCCAGAAGACAGAGATATGTCCCTGCCTTATGGAGATTTGTTTCAGCCACTGAAGGAAGAAAAATGGTGGTCCTGGGGGAAATGTCTCCATTGAAGTCTTTATCTGTAAAAAAATGGAGCACCAATAGAGAGAATTATTAGAGAAAAACAAGCACTGTGTGCTTTGGGAAAACTTAATGTGCAGCAAGAAGACAAATTACCACAAATTAGTAGCACAAGGTCTTTCTCCCCTGTGGATTTGCAGGGTATCAATCACTGTCCTCACTGTACAGATGTATAAAGGGGATGAAGAGGTCACCTAGCCTTTTAAATGTCACACCTTTCAAGCGGCAACTGCTGGATAGAAACTGCTGTGTCATTTCCTCTCATTTTACAATGAGGTATGACTTTGCTTCATACCAAGGCTTCCAACATGAATGAGCCCATTTATTTTCTTACTTTTATATTTTCTTCGTCCTCTCATAGTGGAGCACATTTTCAAGGTGGAGGTCAAGGGAGAGGAGAGGACCAGCCACTGGGATGATCTCTCTGAAGATGAGGCTCTGAGGTTCCATCTAACGAGCTTGCCTTTCCCATCCTTTGCCACTTAAGCTCTCTGACCAGGTAACTCACATTCTCCTGCTCTGCCATCCTGTGCAATTCACTCTTCATTTAACTAGTTCCGGATGCACCATTTGTCTTGTTTCTCACAGGGATAGATATCGGGAGGAAGGTTGTCATTTCCGCTGGTAACTGTACACAGGTACCTGTTTCAGTGGGAATCTACTCCCATGTGTAGTTACAATGCCTCAGATCAATCACATAGCTTCAAATGTGGGTTTTACACCCACTTCTGAGGTGCTTTGACTCATCTAATGAAGCAGTCAAATTTAATAGGGCATCTCACTTTCACATCTGAAATGCTCTGAATTATTGAATTGGGGAGTATTAAAGCTGTATCTCCAGAATCACAGTATTTTAAATTTAGAACCAAAATGATAATATTCACAAATTCTTTTAAAATTTTTATTATTTTCAGAAATGCTCTTATGTTAGTTTTACCCCATAGTGTTTAGTAAACGTTCACCAAAAGCCCATTTTATGTTGTAATTTCATTTAAATTTCAGTCATCACTACGGATACATCAAAGGCATGTTTTTCCCTACTTTATTTATTAAAGTATGATTTGACGCACTTCAGGAAAGCATCTATAAACATCTGAGAATCCATATTTTGGTTCTCAGCTTTTTTTCCCAAAGTATGTAGCAATTCTATATGTGCTACTCATCTGTTTTGAAGCAGCTTATTCTTCTGTTTTAACCTGCCGAATAAAGTGTATGTATAATTGGTATAATGTGTGTCCTGAGTTTCTTGCAGACACAATGACAAAATATATAACAGAGGATCACATGTTTACAAAGATGTACCACGTTCATCTTGAGTACTAACTGGTTATACTTTCATTTTCAATCCTGTGACTTTTTACAAATGTCAGGACTCTTCAGATTGGATTTCAAATTGAAACTCAAATGTTATGCCACTTTGGGGAGGGGATTAATTTGAAGTTTGTATAACAATTCAATGAGCAATGTTTTAGGAAAAGGAGCACTGTGTTTCTCATTTGAGAAAAAAAGAACAGAAATTCTTGTTCATTTCTACCTGTAACAGCAACACTCCTGGTTTTTATATAAAATCAATAAGATTATAATGTTAATATTTTTGTACATAGTATAAGTATCATTAGGTGAAACTTTGCTCATTTAAATTCATACATCCTGCTTTTAGTGCAAAAAGTAAGATACCATATATCTCTTCAACCGTTCACTTTATTTGTATTTTTAAGCATGCTATAAAAGGTAATTGTATTTTGTATAATTTTAGTGGAAACCAATGTAGTATATCTAGTGTTCACCTTAATATATTATGTTTTTTCATCAAAATGTTTCAGACTTACTATCAAAAAAAGTTGAAATGAAATGATGAACTGGAAAAATTTCTTTACAGTAACACCCCATCCATTGTTTCTTTTTTTTTTTCCTTAAAAAGGATCTTCAACGTTCATGCTTTGAGGATAAAATCATACTTGAATTTCTATAACTTTCTCAGTGCAATAGTTAGCTAAGCTTTATTGTACCTGACTAACTATATCTTGTATTACATTGTCTTTGTACATGTGACTGTTAAATATCTGCATTGAGTGCTTTTAATAGTCATTTTTTAATGATGCATAAACTGCCAGGATCCTATTTTATTTAAATAATTAATAGAATGGTTGCCATATATCTTATTTAAAAAATGAAGCTGTCCAATTCATTAATATATATCATTTGTCTAGTCATTCAATACATTTTGTGTCAAATTTCTCTATTTGCATTTTAAGATGCAACAATATTCATTGTATATACATTTACCAAATACCAATAGTGTTGTCTATAGAAAGTATATTTCATATCCACATATGAGAATTTACTTAAGTGTTCTCTATTTTCCTCTTTTCTTTCATCAAATAGTTATACTTATTTCATAGTTAACTGTGTGTTTCAGATTTATGACAAGTTTTCAACTATATTTGATTTTAAGTTGACCCATTCCTATGTGAATTTGACATTCCTGTCTGGTAAATATGGCAAAAAGCCTACTTCAAATAGCTATACATTTTAGAACCATTAGTGTGGATGTTAGAGAAATTAACAATTAGGATAAAAATAAAAATTCAATGATTCAGACCAAAATTTTTCTGAAAACACTTTTTAGTTAATTTTTGCTCACCAAGTAAAGAAGTTTGTTAAAGGGAAACAAATACCTCCAGTTCTAACTCTTCGTGTGAGTGCAGTGGATGTTAAGATATTCTGTCATTTGGACAGTTTTAAGTACAGCTTCATCCTAAGGATAATTCTGTTCTGTGATAAATACAGTTGTCTGAAAAGACAATAGTGGAGACAATTCTCCCTTTACATGTGAATTGGAAGAATTATTGGGCATCTATGATGTATTGGACAATGATCCAAGGACTTTAGGCACATTATCATATTCAATTCTCATATATTCCTGCTAGATTCGCACTGGTATCCTATTTCATGGGCTAGGAAATTGAGGCCAAAGTATTATCAGCCGTGTTCCTTAAGCTATAACTGGTGGAGCCAGAGCTCCAGATCTGCTGACCAGCAAAGCCCAGACTCTCCCACAAAACATGGGACCACGAGAAGAGGGAATGGGTCTACTCCACTGAGTTTATTACAATTTATCTGTAACAATGAATTTTGTCCCAGAGTCCAAGACTTTAGTGATACCATTATGTACATTATATGTGAGCACTTACTTTATAGGCGTTCACCTGCACTCATAGCCAAATCCTATTAGAATATTTGCACAATGCTGCCCTTGCTCTCCTTTAAAATAAGCATCTGTATTAAAACCTCTCCCAAGATTTATACATTAATTGTCCCTCCCATTCTTCTTTTTCCTGAACATTGTCACTATTAGTCCAACAGGATCATTTGTTACCTTTCCCCTATTACCAGTGGAAATTTATTCTATCAATACCTACCTGTCACAACCAGTTTCATTCCTTTACTGAAGATTTTCTTATCATAATACCACAGTGATTCTACTCATATAAAAAAACCTTAGATTAGATAAATTCTGTACATTCTAGTGCCAACATAATGTTCTGGAATTCTACAGAGACCAGAGTTCTGATCTGTTTCATTTTGCTCATAACAAGTTCAGTGGCTAAGCACATCAAGAAATTTGAAAGTTTGTGTGCTTTAGTTATTTTAAAACAACGCTGTTGGGACAGGGATTTAGCTCAGTAGTTCCACTGCCTGCCTCACAAACACAAGGTCCTGAGTTTGATCTCTGGTACCAAAAAAAAGCAAAACAAAACAAAACAAAAAAAATGCTGTTACTATAAATCAACTCACCATCACTACCCACACTAAAAAGCAACCAAAACAAAACAGGATGTGAAGACCAATTTGATTAAAAATATTAGAGAAATACAAGAGGATTTTTATTACCTTTACCTTTGTTATTATTAGCAGTTTGTTTGCTCTGTGTGCTCTAACAAGTATTTTTTTTTCATTAAGTTTATTGGTACCTTTTAGGTATACAATACAGTTACATTCATCGTTGGGATCTTGTACCTTTACATGATGTATATTGGTTCTTATTTTTTCCCCATTTCCTTCCATCAAGTATTTTAATCTCATAGTCTTGCCATTACATTCAGCATTTGAGAGCTGCAGTAAGATCCATGGAAATTAAGATGGGAGACATGTTCCTCAGTTCTCCGTTTGCATCGTCACAGGAAACATGGTTTTTATATCCAAGCCTTAATGGACTCTCACCTGTCTTTTCTGACCTTCTAAGACAATCAAAGGGAACCCTGGCTAATGTGTAATATGTACAATCACTATGTAGAAAGGCTTCACTTGTGTTTTCTAAATCAAATGGCTGCTTTCCAATTAGCAGAGCAGTGCATGTCAATTCCAAACTTTCTGCTACAAGTTCAGCCTCCAAATGACTTTGGTCAGCTCATGCCAAAGACAGTATGCAACTCCTGGCCTGGCTCTTCCATGCAGAATGACTGCAGAAATGGCAGAAAGCCTGTCTGCAAAGCCATCTAGGTCACTAAGTTTTATCTGCTGAGGTCCCTGTCTGTGCATGACATTGATGTTATGAAGCCCACAGCTCTGAGGCCATAGTGGTGTGCAACACGTTTGTTTAACAACCATTTCCTTCATTTCCAAAATGGATGCTAAAGACAGTGTCTACTCTACACTTCAATTTCTTCCCAACGGACTCATGCACTGAAGTCTTTTTTTTATTAGTACATGTTTGCAGCACATGAAGTTTACAGTCACCTTGGGGAGCAGGTACAGGTACATAATACAGCTTGTTTCTTTTTTAAATTCCTTTCCCAGTTTTATAGTGGATGAAATATATTTGGAAAATTGTTGTGTTTCTGTTTATCAGTTAATAACAAGTAAGTATTCCACCACATTTTTCTTTCCCTTTTGAGCAGAACACTACACTCTTTGTTTCTTGTTAAATAACCACAAGACTCTTTTCTTCTTTTCTTTTAGATCTTCTACCTACTTTATTTAGTGATCTGACCTGCCCTGGTGAGTTTTATTTTAGTTCTTCTCAAATGGGTTTTGGAAATAACCAGTAAATACATCTTACACATTTTTGTCCATTCTACATATTTCTCTTTCGGCCCCAGGGGTTGACTGTGTTGTAAGGTAGATCAGATGAGGCATGAGGATTGAAGGATATGTTTGCAAATCCTAGATGTGTGATTAAATCACAATCTTGCTGAATATAAACAGTCTGGACAGGTAGGAACATAAGACAGGCTCTGTTCCCAAATTCTCCCTCACCATACAGGCGTTGCTTTATGGTACAATCTTTGTGTAGTCTGTCATGGGAAAAGATACCCCTCCAGCACTCTGGTCCAAAAATACCACTTGGGCAAGATATTAGCCTGGTTTTGGAGATAACACCGATAAAAGAAAAATAGCACAAAAATTTAACATATAATTGATCATTTTTACTTGGGATTAAGGTCTCTAGAGTTTATCTAAATTCATTTACAAAGCTTTTAAAAAGACATAATAAAGACACATAACTCTTCCATGCCCCAGGGATCTATAGTGGCCCTCAACTCCTTGCTAAGCTCTCTCATGCTAGTCAGGGAGAGAACTGCTGCTTAGGACTTGCTCCAGGTCACCTGGCCTCTCCAGAGATCCCACTGTGACAAGGAACCAAACCAGAAGTGATTCCAAGAACCTGAGCCAGTCCCTGCTCTGGGGCCTGGGGTACCTGCACTGCTGCCACCCCGCCTCACTGCACCCTGCAGAATGGAAAGAACATTCACCTGTGAGGATGAACCTTGTGCCAGGACCAGAACATTGATGATTCTGCCATTCACTTTTCCATTGTCATTAAACCCTTTTTAAAGTCTCATGTTGTCCTCATTTTAATTTATGACAACATTTTTCAATAATTATACAAAAACCGAAAAATTGGCCACACTGACATTAAATAAAGACAAAGCTGAAACACAATCCTATTAGATCTGAGCATTGTCTTTTGGAGGATTGTGAGGTTAGGAATAATGCTCATACTGTGTATGGATTTTATAATCAATGACTACTACTCAATTTGAAGAGCTCATGAACCCAAGACTTCCCACCTCTCTAACAACAATAGACCAAAGAACAAGTAGGTCCCATCCAAGCAGAATGGAGAACACCATCCAGTGGACTGGAAGTTTTGGGGGTTGGGGCTGTGTCTTGTCTCTTCCTTTATCACCAGAAGGAACTGAAGGAACCTGAAGGAGCTGACTTCAGTGAACATTTTCTGAGAGAATACATGAGCAAATGAGGTTAGAAAACCATGTAGATTCTTTTTGTATCTTGGGACTGAAATGGTGTGTGGAACTTGCAAATTCCTGCAAACTTGACCTCCTCCAGGCATTATTAGGACAGTCAGAGTAGCATGAATTTTAACTAATCTTAGGCTAACCCCAAAGGCATTAGAGACATATGAAATAGAGATTCTCAATGTTTTATAGTAATTTAACATAAGAATTGTTTGCATTGTTATTAGAGATGAAATTAAAATGAAGAATCTGGATTTTGCAAATTATCAGGAGGAAGGAACACTTTGTCATATCTCAAAATATAGAGAAGAGGAATTAGTAAATTCCATTTTGAGGACTCTCACTTAAAAGACCTGAAAAATTTATCTTGAACCAATAACTTATACCAGGGGTCTATAGAAATGGTCCTCAAAACATTTTTAATTTCTAGCTTGAGCATCTCATTTGTGGATATGTGCTTCTGAATGTAGAATGTTGAACTGCTTCCTTACAGGGAAGAAAAGAAACCACTTACAAAGAAGTTTTAGTTCCAGAGCCATTGTTATTGGTGTTCCTGTTTTCAAACCAAGAACATAGCGAGTCAGATAAGGCTGATTATAAATTGTGATTTTAAAAAGCATCTTTCATTATTCATTACTGGGATAATGACAGCAATGGCACATTATCTGTCAGGAGGCATTTCTATGAACTTCATCTCTCCTGCAAAATCGTGATCTTGGCTGGCCAATCACACTGTACCCAAAGCTTCCAAACATGTTAGCATCTCCTGGGCTTTATGATATGGTTAACAGTCATTGGCTGGCCATTCCCCTTTCTAGGTATCTTTGAAGACATATTTTATGGCAGATGACTATTTGAGGGGTTCCTCAAGGAACTCATAATCTGTTTCCCATTAAGGAAGTAATCATTAGAAAGTGCCAAAAGAAAATTGCAAGAAAAAGAGGAAAGATGGGCCCTGGTCCACCAACTGCTTTTCTAAGTTACCAGGAAAAGTGTTCTGAGAATTAAGCCTTTCTAAAAAAAATTTTAGTTGTTCCCTGGTGTTGAAACTGCTGAGTTTTGCATCAGGAGGGAGCCTCCTGTTCTTGCACACACCAAGCCTTTCATCAGCAATTTGGGAATACTTTCTGAAAAAAGGAAGTACTTTCCTTTAGTAACTGAAAATGAATGTGCCCGCATATTTCAGAAAGGTGAACCATGGTCTCCATTTTCAATAAAGCTACATGTACACTTCACATCATGATTAATTAAAGAAGCAATCCTGAGTGAGCAAATAAGCTCTAAGATGACTTAGTATTTTTTCCTGGAATAGCAGGATAAAATTGTAGATTTCCAGCTCCTATAAAATTACAGATTCCTCATTTCAACTGGAGTGTGGGAAAAAATCCCAGTCCTCTGATATGTTGAAAGACAAAGCTCCTTGGAAACAGTTTTGTGTTCTTCTTCTTCTTTTTTATTTT